GGACCAGGCTGCTGGTGCGGGGTCCCCGCCTCAGGCGGCAAGGGAAACAAATGCCAGGTCCCGATACCCACGTGGACACGGCCAGCGCGGAGCCCGTGGGCAGGCGAAGGGGTCGGCTCTGTCCGCACCTGCGGGGCCAGAGCCCCTGGATCTCCAGGGCCAGCGCCCGCCTCCGCTCAGAACAGGCGGCTGGGCAGGGCCAGGAGCCACAGCGAGGACGCAGACCTCACACGCGCGTCCCGCCGCGTCTCTGCACTCTGACAACTACGTGTATTTGTTCTGCTCTCCTGATGGGGCTCTGCGATACATAAGCTCAATGGCAAGATCTGCAAGATCTGCATTGTTTATTTTTGTGTAGCTAATGGCATAAAATGAGCTCAATCGCTAAATTAAAGCAACACAGCATAGTAAGGGATCCTGCCGATGACACCAAGGCAAAGAAAGGTAAGCGCATACCCCAATCCACTAAGGCCTGAGGCATTTATCATATTTTAGAAAGAACTCTACAAGAGTTAAAAACTTTGGCATCTATTTATATTTCTATCTTCAGAACAGGTAGAAGTGGATAGTAACTTTATTACTGTAAAATAAAGTTCACAATATTAAACTATACAAAAGTATATAAATTTCATATAAGTGCCCACAATATGAAAACAAGGGCCATTTAAAGGTAGAAGGCAATTTTGGTCCTATTACCTAGAAGATCTAAATTGTAAGGGGAAAAAAAACTTCACACTAATAGACTGGAAAAATAGGGAAATATGAGTTTAACATTCAAACTGTTCAGAAAATCTTTATTCTCCAATTAGTAACAACTCATTTCAAGGGCTAGAAACTCACAAACATATGGTAACATCGAAGACATCCAGAAACTCATTTTTAAAAAGTCACAGGTAATTTCAACTTTATACTACAAATGTAAGAGACACGGCAGGTATCACACTTCTTTCAATGCACTTCAGCAGGCTGGGCACTATAAACTCCTAAATAACCAATAAAGCCAGAAATTCTACAGGCTCATTAAAGCAATCACTCATAGTTATATAAGTAATTTGAAATTTGAAAGGGAGTGATCCACTGGGAGTTATGAAGTTATTCGATAAACTTTTTTTCAATGAAATAAATCAATGCAAATTATTTATTACAATACTTCAATGATTCAGCTACACGGAGGGTAGACAAAAATATCCAGGGCTCAAAGAGCCAATCTAAAAAACTGACACTCCGGAAAGGTCACAAAATTAATTTACATATTTGTGTGAGGCAGGCACCCACGCGATCCCACCCCTACCTGCTTCTCTGGAAGCCAGAAGCCCACTGGGCTTTAGCCCTGCAGCCTGTCACTCACCGTCAGACCTCAGACTCAGGCTTCACAGGGCCTCCTCACGTGAAGAGCTGACCCTGCAGACCAAAGAAACGCCTTCTTCTGAAATAAAGACTCAGAAACTAACAACAGAGAGCAGCTAGCCTCAGTTCCAACGTCCATGCTAAGCGTGGCAAAGACCCACCCCCCGCATGCACTGCGCAGGCCACAACACTACACGTGGGGTGGCGCTGGAGACCAAGCCCTGGGCACAGGAGAGCCACAGCAGCCCTGTCCGTCTCCGCCTCAGCCTCCCGAGAAGCCGTGATCACAGGACCGTGCCACAGACAGGGCCTGATTATGTTTTCATATTTTTATTTAGATACGCATCTGTATACCATAACAATATTTTCATTTAAAAACTAAGAGTGACTACAGAATATCGTCAAGCCTTGGGGTAGCTGGGCGTGGTGGCCCAGGCCTGTAATCCCAGCACTCGGGAGGCTGAGGCAGGAGGATCGGTGAAAGTTCAAGACCAACCTGGGCTACCATAGTGAGTTCCAGGTCAGTCTCAACTACACAGTGAGACCCTGCCTCAAAAAAA